TTACCATGGTTGAGGAAAACTGGGAATTGTAAGACATGTCGGTGACGCCTCTGTCACATCTTACACCATTATGGAGAAAAATCTTTCCAGTTGGTAAGACCCTATTGGGCGTCAACCCTTTTGAGATGCCACGGGGACAAACAAGTCGGATCGTAGGGTATCTCTTGATGCATTCCAAACTGCATCTTGACACGGTCGCTGTGGTGCATCTCCATAACATTGAACCGTATGATTGCAGTCTTTACACTCTAAATTGTTGTATCCTTGGAGTTTGGTTCATGGTCCAAACCCAAATATGGTCTCCAGACAAACTGCGGATAAAATTAAATCAACTTAATGAAAACGTAATAAATAAATAATTTAAAAGTAGAAAAGTTGAAAGGTATGACGTACATCATCCGGGCTAAGGTGATCCAATAGATTGCGTTATAGAGTGACATTGAATCTTGGATTCTTGCCATAATTCATACCCCTCACGCAGTACCTAAAGGAATTGAAAAATATTTTATTTTTATCATATATTTGGTGAAGAGATGAATAGTAATAAATGATATAAGTTGATGACTTACTTTGTTGCGTATGGGAAAACGAATGCGTTGTTGTTGACAGGGTTTAGGGACTCCATTCTCCACCAACCCCAGGCTTGAAGTAAAAAAGCGCAACCATAAAATATACATTTTTCCTTGATTGCATTTTTACACAAGGAATTGTATAGATGGGCTAAAACAGCAGAACCCCAACTATACTTTCTAGTTTTTTCGAAGTCTCTAAGTAAATTTAAATACATAAAATTTACACTATTTCCCGTACTTTCGGGAAATAAAAAGGTTCCAAATAGTATCATTATATAATTTTTAGCTTTTATTACCTTAGCTAGCTCGGAGGAATTTTCATTCAATTCCAGAGTCGCATAATGATTTTTTAGCTCAGTAAGTAGTATACCCTGACCTCTCGCACCACCACCTTCAACCATATCCCTGCCCAACAATTCTTCACACAGAGAACTGGGTTGTTGAACCGACCCGTTAACCTCCTTACCGTCGACAGAGAGACCCAATAACATGTACACGTCCTCTAGTGTGACGGTACATTCACCTATTGGTAGATGAAATGTATGGGTCTCTGGTTTCCACCTTTCCAATATTGCAAGTATGAACTTTGAATCAATCATGCAGTTGGAGATCTTTATAACATTTCTGAAACTTGTGTATTCGAGATAGGGTACGATCAACGGGTCGGGAGCAAGGTAGTTGTGTGACCGGATTCTGAATCTTTTAGTATCCAAAGTTAAGAATGTAAAAAGTGTAAGAGTAGGCAAGATGAATAAAGCATTAATAGAAGTATGAAAAATGTATAAGTATACAAGAAACTTACAAACTCTGCAATATTGTCCCTTGTACCTCTGTGAGAATCGCCCATTATGAGAAGAGCCATTGTTGAAATTGTCTGAGATTATGAAAGAGTTTGAAATTGTATGAGATTATGAAACAGTTTGTAGAAGAGAGTGAGACGATTATGGATGCAATAGAAGTATGTGAGGCTCTGTATTTATAGGCAAAATTTTATCACATAGTAAGTGAGGTGGTAGGTGGGTGCATGCATGCATGATAATTGTCACTCTTGCAGCATAGGTGCAGGCTACGTGGCAACTTTGGGGAAGGCATCTCTGCATGCATGTAACATAATTGGACGTGAAGGGAGGCGCCATTGGACTTGGCGAAAGAGTACAAAAATGAAAGGTGTTGCCATCCCTGTTGGCGAATAAGAGGTGGCACGGGTTGCAGTGTAGGTGCAGGTTAGGTGACAGTCTTGGAGAAGGCATCTCTGCATGCATGTAACACGATTGGACATGAAGGGAGGCGCCATTGGACTTGGCGAAAGAGTACAAAAATGAAAGGCGTCGCCATCCCTATTGGCGAATAAGAGGTGGCATGGGTTGTATTATAGGTGCAGGCTAGGTGACAGCCTTGGAGAAGGCATCTCTGTATGCATGTAACATGATTAGACGTGAAGGGAGGTGCCATTGGACTTGGCGAAAGAGTACAAAAATGAAAGGTGTCGCCATCCCTGTTGGAGAATAAGAGGTGGCATGGGTTGAAGTATAGGTGCAGGTTAGGTGACAGCCTTAGAGAAGGCATCTCTGCATGCATGTAACACGATTGGACGTGAAGGGAGGCGCCATTGGACTTGGAGAAAGAGTACAAATATGAAATGTGTCGTCATCCTTGTTGCGAATAAGAGGTGACATGGGTTGCTCTCATGTCATTGTTGCGTGTGCCTATACTCATCAAGATGCGCTACAACTTCTGTCTCCCATTTACAAATCTGAAACCTTGCTCAACGTATACAACAACAGCTTCCCTTTAGTAGCAAAACCTGATTATTGGCCTACATACGACGGCGAAATAGTATGGCACAATGACCAAATGCGAAGGAATAAAAAGGGTCGTCCCAAAAGTAAGTGCATCACAACTGAAATGGACTCTCTTGACAAGCTGGTAAGAAAGTGTGGTTTATGTCGTCAGGTCGGACACAATCACAAAAATTGTCCGAATCGGGCTACTGGCTCAACCACATAAAAATTGTATTACAAAACATCTTTACTTTTTTAGTTGTAAACATTAGGGTTTTTCATTAACAACATTTGTTACGATAAACCTTGTGCGAACAAGAAATAAAACACGATAAACCGTCTACGAAATTACAACTGTTAAAACAATTTCATCTGACTCATGCATCATCAATATTATGTCGCTGTCTGTTTTGACTTCCTCCATCCAAAAATTGGTCTTCCTGTCGCAAGTGAGGTTGTTGTTCGTCTTCGCTGAATCCTTCTAATTTGTTCCCCCTCCTCGATGTCTCCCTCTAGACAACGCACCAACTCCCTCTTCAGACGCTCCATGGAGTGAATGTGTCAGAATTTCATTTTCATCTGAGGTTTGTGACGGAGAAAATAACGTAAGCATCTCTGGTAAAAATCATGGGCGATGTCATGACGCAAATAACAGAGAAAAAAAAAAAGAGAACAATGCGAGAAAGTGTGAGGAATGACGGTGAAACGGACAAATTATTTATAAAAAATGCATTTTGTCCTAGGAGTCAAGTGAAATGGCGCATCGTCTCACTTTTAAAGTGCATGTGCCATCTCACTTGGCTAAAAGAGAGAGGAGGCACCAAGTGGGATGGCGTCTAGGGCAAAATGCACAGTGCATGTGCCAACTGAGTTTACTTCTCCTTTGTGAGGTTTTCTGAAACATAGTTATTTGCGTAATTTTCTCTAAAACATGATTATTTGCGATTTTTTTTAATACCTAATTACCCCTGTGTTTAAGCCTACATAAGAAACTATATATCATATGAGCTATTTGACTTCATCTCAATATCCACAACATTTTCGATTGAAGTTTCTTCACCAATATTACGAATGAAGATGGGTGATTTTGATCAACAACATAAAAATTATTCAAGTTCTTAAGTGAGTGAACTATTCTCATTGAAGCATCATTTTTTTTATAAGTATATTATCTTTGTGTGTTTAGTTTAGTCTCAACTCAATAATACGTTTTTATTTATATAAAAAATTGATATGTTTTTTTTTATTAATATTGATAATTAATTTACAAATATAAATTTATAAATTGTTTTTATTTGCAATTATGAATGAATATGAATGAACTTAACTATTAAATTAGTCATGAAAAAAATAAAAATTATTGACTTTTGCGATTTTGCATAATTGTGATTTAGAAAGATCATTCTAGAATTAAGTAGCTTAAAAACAAAAGAAGATTTATATATAATTTTATGGATAAGTGTTTAAAAACCTAATTATTGATTTTTTTTACAATTATATTAAATTATTTATTTTATGCAAATTAATAAAAATTATATTTTTATAATAACATGCTTATAAAAAATTAATTCGGGTTATATATATATATATATATATATATATATATATATATATATATATATATATATATATATATATATATATATATATATATATATATATATATATATATATATATATATATATATATCAATGGACCAATTTATTATTGGCTTATGAGTTGACAATTAGGATTATCCGGTCCACTTTGGATCAGCCTGTAACGAATTTGAATTTTTGGCGGATCGGATTTAAAGGTCCAAAATTTAAACGACATAAAATTAAATTGTTCAAATCTAATCCTTCATAGGTTTCGATTAATTGGATTGGTCTGAATTATATTTAATATTTATTTTTAAAATAAAAAATAAAAAATAATATATTATATAATAAAAACTAAAATATATATGAATGTTGAGTATAAAAATAATATATTTCATCAACATACATAATATCTAAGATAGATCATCACCTAAATATATTATTTCAATCAAATAATCAAGATTCAAATGTAAATAATTACTCACCCTATTTGATTTAAAAATTAAATTTCAATAAAATTAATTAGTAAATAATAATTTATTAATTATAAAACATTAAAAAAAATTAATATTCATATTAATGATATTTAATATTTAAAATAAATCAAATAAATCTTATATCTATATAAACTAATTCTTTAATTGAGATTAATGTGAAATGTTAAATATTATTATAATATATTTAAAAAAAATAAAGAAATTATTAATAAAGTATTAAAATTTATGTAAAAAAAAATTAAATAAAATACGCGGACTCCTCGCAATCGTGTCGAGTTAATTCGTTAGACTTTGGACTTTTAACGGACCGAGCTTAAAAGCCCGGATAATAAAGATTCAAGTTTTTACGGGTTTTCGGGCGGGTCGGTTAGTAAGGCCCGTTTTGGCGGCTGTGGTAAAACTGACATTTCCTTCTGAAAACCTAGAAATCCTCCTTCTGTTCTTCGTCACTCCATAAACCCCAATTACTTCTAGGGTTTTCATCTTCCTCGTTACCACAGAAATAATTCTTCAAATTCAAGCAATCGAATTCGAATTCAAACCCCCTGTATTGAGTTGCGGATTCGAAAATGACGCGAGCTTATACTGTGAAGGGGAAAAAGCGAAAGAACAAGGAAGTGTCAGCGAAGTACGACCGTGAAGAAGATGAAGAAGAACAAATCCAACCTAAGAAACCAGCGATTCAGAAAGAGGAACCAACGCCGGTAGTTACAAAAACAGAGGAAAATAGTGAACTTGCAGGTATTCCAATTGCTCCTTCTACTGTAAAAAACAGTGAGGAACCGGGTGTTATTTTCGTTCTCGAAAAAGCTTCTTTGGAAGTCGCTAAAGTTGGAAAGGTATTGGAAATTTTCTAGTCTTTTCATATTGTTTAATCACTTTAGGAATTAGCACTGTTTGAAATTTGGATTGACACCATGGAATTTTACATTGAATTAAGTTAATCACTGTTTTGTCATTGCTTTTTTTACTAGCAAAATCTATAGGCAAGATTGATTACATAGAAAATAGAGGTGTAAAGTTCTGCTTTGTGAAACTATATTATGCTAGGTGGGTGATGTTTTGGGATTCTGAGTAGGGCTTTTCATGGTATGGTTGAGAAAACCAGACTGAACCGAATTTTTTAAAAATAAATTTTAAAACTTGTTTGTAGTATTTTTCATTTTTAATTTAGATTCGGTTTCAGTTTCAGTTCGGTTTACTTGTCATGGGGTTTGGTTCTAAAACTGTTTGTATAATATGGTTCAGTTCACTAACCAAACATAACGGTTTGGTTATTTTAGCTTCAGCTCGCTTCGGTTTGGCGGTTTGGTTCGGTTCACAGTCATCATTCTGAGTAATAATGATTTTGAGTTGTGTTTACAACAGACTTATCAGCTTTTGAACTCGGATGATCATGCTAATTTCCTCCGCAAAAATAACAAGAATCCTGGTGATTACAGGCCTGACATTTGTCATCAGGTTGGTTAAAAAGTGTTTTTATCAATGGCATTCTCACTACTTTCTGTTATTGAGTTTGATGTTTATGCTGCTTTGTTTGGTTGGTTTTGGAATTGTTAGTCCCAAAATGATTTAACTTTACCATGTAATACACTACCCGTTATCGAGATGCTTGAGTCATGAGCCAAATATCTAGTCATGGATGTGAAGAGAGTGTGTTGAGAGTGCAACATTGGATGTGATATGATATAGCTTGAAAAAGTGCTTATAAGTGGGAGGCATCTCCCATCTTACAACCTAGTTTTGTAGGGTTGAGTTAGACTCACACCAATAAAACTCAGTTAGTTTAATTATAACTCTAATTGTGCCTCGCTACTATTTTCCCGATCCATTGTTATCAATTCAGCACTGTATTTTCTGCCATCTCGTTCAAAAGGCTCTACAGTAATCTTTAATTCTAGATAGCGACAAAAACAAAATTAATACATTTTTTTCATAACGAGGGGCATAAATAAAGCATAATTAAGCATAATAATTGTTAAAAAAAATCTCATTTTAGATGATTTTTTTTCAGGCACTTCTATCGATTTTAGATAGCCCGCTAAATAAAGCTGGGAGGTTGAAAGCGGTATACATAAGGACTGAAAAGGGCGTTCTTATAGAGGTTAAGAACTATGTTCGTATTCCAAGAACATTCAAACGGTTTGCTGGTGTCATGTGTAAGTTTTACTTGGCTCTTTGATTTGATTTCTTTTTTGTGTGGCTCTTTGATTTTATTTTTGTGAAGAAAATGAATAATTGCTCATTTGTTGGTCTGCAGTGGAACTGCTTCAAAAATTGAGTATATCTGCTGTTGGCAAGCGTGAGAAACTTCTCCGCACGATAAAAAATCCCATAACCCAGCATTTGCCTCCCAACTCGCGAAAAGCAGGTTTGTTATTGTTGTTCAATGGTTTTGAAAATGATTTCATCCAGTGTTGTCAAGGGGATTGCAGAAAATAGCAATATGTTCAATTTCTGCTATGCTATCATGTTATGGCTCCCCTATAGCTGCTACATGGAAACACTTTATCCCTAATTATGTATGGTGGATCAGTAGCTATTTGTTAATACTATTCTATAGCCTCCTTTTGACAACAATAATTTTGCGAAGGCTGCATGTTTATTTCATTTGGTTAGTTAGGTAGTGAAAATGGATCCGATGTTTATTTCATTCATTTGTTTCTTCCTCTCTATACACTTTTTGTTTCTCTTCTGTCAAATGTATGTAACTTTTTCCTTTGAATGCTAGGTTTATCGTTTAGTTCAGACAAGTTGGTAAACATGAATGACTATTTATCAACAATTCCAAGCGATCAGGACATTGTCTTTGTGGTACTCACAAGCTCAACTTTTAAACTCCTATGCCTGGATATGTTAGTGGATTTTTAACTTTTGTATGATCTAATTGAAGGTAGGAGCAATGGCACATGGGAAAGTTGAGACAGACTACACAGATGATTATATAGCTGGTATGTTAACCTTGCATTGACTTTTCTATAAATTTGTTGTGAAAACTAAGAGCCTCTCCAGTTTATATACCGGTATAAACACTTGTGAGACTATTTGAGAGAACTTATAGAAATAGCTTAGGATATACCTATTAATTGTTTTCAGCTTATTTTCGTAAGCTCTTCAAGATGGCTTATAAAAACAATTTATAACTTGCATAAAAATAACTTGACTTCATTTTATCTTTTATTATGAAAATAGTTTATGCATAATCGTTTGATTGGTCGGTTTATCCAAGTCGTGAATTATGGAAAGGAAAAAGAAACTAGTTTGAGTTTCTTAATTCATTTTGTTTCTTGATTGCAGTTTCTGGTTACCCTTTAAGTGCTGCTTACTGTATTACAAGGATTTGTAATGCTATTGAAGGAAAGTGGAACATATTGTGATTTAGCTTCTCCTATTGATTCTCCTCTATGGACACTATATTTGCTTGAAGAGCGCATTCCGTTAATGTAATGTCGGAGATAGCTAAGTCTTTGTGTCATATAAATCAAGAGAACTTATGTGCTTGAATTTGTAACTTTTTTTTTTGTTGAATTTTTCTAGTTTTAGATTTAGCTGTTTTTTTTTACTTCTTCCTTGTATCAGTTTTTTTGTAACTTCATATTCTATATTATGGTTATGGTCTACATCATAGGAACTCTTGTTCTCTAATTGATACCAATACATTGTGGCCACATTGAATGAGATCTAAGAAAAATTAGAAACAACTCCTTATTGCAAAATGGTAAAAACATGGAATTTTGAAGAATTTTAATGATTCTTTTTGTGATGATGATGATAGAAGAGCTTTGTGATCCTTGATTAAATTGTTTATTCAATCTGAAGAAATTTAATGTTATTTAATTAAGATAACCTGAAGTTTTAAAGAATTTTACACTATTCAATCAGATATTTTGCAATATAAACAACTTTTATGGTTTTCAATCATCTAATATTATTTTTAATATGTTAAAAATAACATCAATTACTTAATTAAATATGTGGATTTGAATTTTTATGTAAAAACATCTATTGTGTTATAATAATTTATTTTACATTTTATGAAGTTTTTATGTGTTGTTAATGCATAATATTATTTAAAATAATAAAATGACATGACAAATATCAGTTTTATTTATAAAATATTGAAATGACATGATAAATTTTAATTTTATTTTTAAAATATTGAAATGATAAATTTCAATTTTGTTTTTAAAATATTGAAATGACATGTTAAATGTAAGAGAGTGTTTGTTTTAAGTTTAGAAACAAGATTCTTAAAAAAAAATGAATATATTCATGTTACAAGATTGAAAATGATTATTTTTAAAAATAAAGATTCTAATGAAAAAAAATAACTTTTTATAATTTCTCATATTTCTATGTAAAAGAATGAGATGATTCCAATAAAATTTTATAAGTTTTTTTAAAAAAAATAGATTAAAATCATAATTTTTATAAGAATATCAAAATGTTTGTCAAAATATTTTTTTTTTTAATTTTTTAGAATAAATTTTCTATCTTTAATTTCTTGAATAATTAATTCTTAAAAATAATTTTTGATTCCGTGAAACAAAAGCTTGGAGAATTATCCTGTCAATCAATGAGATTGACAATACATTATTTTTAAATTTTAATATTATTTTAAATTTTATAATATTTTAAAAAAAATTAATCTTTAAAATCCTTAAATTAATAAAAATCTTGCAAAGTCTTATAAATTCACATATTTAAAAATGTATAGAAGAAAAATCGAATAATTTGTAACCGGAGAAGAAGCGGCTAAGGAAATGATAACGAGTTGCGTTGGTGGGGCGCCACCGTCATCTTCGCCGTGTTCTAATTCTCAGCAAAAGTTGCAGCAACGCCAACGACCACCGCAGTCTTCGTCTTCATCTTCGCTTTCGTTTTCACGCTCATTTCCCTCTTTACCAATCTCAACTACCACTCTCTCTCCCATAAACCCTACCAATTTCAACGTGAGTTCCCTCTTCTGCTTCTCCAATTCAGTTTTCAAGCAGAGATTATGTATCTAATAGGTTGAAATTTTACGAGATTCGGTTGATTTTGACCGTTAAAACTCTATGAGTATATCTATGAGAATAGCTCTTTTATGTGAACACCGCCACATGTGATTATGTTTAATTTATTTATTTATTTATTTCAAATTATTACCTGTGTCAGTGTCTCCATAGGTTTTAAGTTTATAGTTGTTTAAAGAGATAAGTTTTAGGAAGAACAAAAAAGATATCGAAATTAACAAACTGGATAGAAACATGGTCTTTGATAGAATGTTATGATGTAATTTGATCTATGTAACCGAGTCCCCTTTAGTAGGATAAGACTTGGTGGTGGTTGTTGTTGTATTGCAAGATTATTTCAATTCTTTGGTTTCTATATGCACCTATGGGAAAGGTTATCCAAACTACCTGTGCAGAAAACAGTTCAAATTCTGAATACTGTTTGCTTCTCTTGTGCTGACTTGAATGAAGAAAAGTAATTCATTTCAACATCTGTAGGGTTCTTTCATTCGAGCTGCTTGGACCCGAAGATCTCGAGGTGAAGCTGAAAAGAAACCCAACAGGAAATCATGGAAGCAGAGAACTGATATGTACATGAGACCGTTTTTATTAGATATTTTCTTTTCAAAGAGATTCGTTCACGCAAAAGTGACGCACCGAGGAACAAGCAAAGTGATATGTGTTGCTACCACAAACGCCAAGGATCTTCGAAACTCTCTCCCATCCTTGATAGACCCTGAAGCTTGTAGAATAATTGGAAAGCTTATTGCAGAGCGATCAAAGGAAGCTGATATATATGCTGTGGCGTACGAACCGAGAAAGAATGAAAGGATTGAAGGTAGAATAGGAATCATCCTTGATACTGTTAAAGAAAACGGAATTCTTTTTGTTTGAGCTCATTCCTATAAACTTATGTTGTTTTAGAAATAGACATCTTGTATGTGTTGTTACAAATTTTATTTAACTGTTATGCATCTTCTGTTGTGTGCATTATATTCCTGTGATTTTAGGTTAAGTTGTTTACACTATGGTGGGTGGGATAGAGATATAGGTTGTTTAAGGTTTGAGAGAAAAAAGGGTTTGTTTGGTGTTGCGTTACTTATGAGTCCCAAAGGACTCAATTATGGTGGGATGGTAAATAAAATAAAACCTCAAATAATTCTAGCATGTATAAATATTTCTTTTCTATGTTGACTTTTCGATTATCAAGGGAAAAAATCGGTAATTTAGAATTTAATGAACATGTAAGTAGCGTTTGTCTAAAAATAGTTTTGGGAAGAGTTCAAACTCAAGTTTAGCCATAGTTCAATAACCACCAGAATTCTATCACTTTGGCAAATTTATTTAAATATCTCAAAATAGTTTGAGATCTTCTTATTAATTAAATCAACTTTATATTTATTTTGAATATATTTAAGAAAAAATTGTATACGTTCAATATAAACTAGTTTATATTGATGTTCAATGAGAGTTTAGCATTTGACGATTTTTATAAGTTTTAAAAATGAGGTTATGTGATTATTTGATAAACTTTTATTTTATGTTAATGCAAAATCAAGTTTATTTCCATTAACTTTGAAGTGTTATATTTATAAAAGGATACGTTTAGGGTGATGTCCTTAGACAATCTAGAAGAAATTGTTAGACGATGTGATCGATTTAGAAGGGGGTTGAATAGATTGTTTAAAAAATTATTTGTGTTTTTTAAAATTGTTTTTCAGAAATATATACGAAAGTTCTCGGAATCTCCAATCGTTTAAACGATCCTCTATTGAAAAGATCGGATATGTGTAACCGTATGGGATAGGATGACAAAGAATCAATACGTTTTACTCAATTGATCAATCACTTAAACATCCTCAATGAGTATGAATTACTTCCAATGAGTTGATTAAGATAAAGCTAAACACAATGAATAATTTGTGGATGAATCAATTTGTCAAACACCTTATGTGCAAAGCACATTAGGTTTGATTTTACTAAATTGTAGCGGTGAGTTTTCTTAGGTATCAATCAAACGGATTGTTACCAATATTGTGAAATGATCTCAACTCACCACAATTTCAGTACAAGCAAATTCGACAATTTAATTTCCACAAATTATAGTAGTCAAGTATGGAAGTAAAGAAAAAGAAAAAGAACACACGATTTATTAAGACAGTTCTCCTTGTCGTTCTCGCGTAGGATACGTCTCCCCCTAATTCTAGAATCTAGAATTGAGATATTTGATATTAAGATGCAAATGTTACAAGAGAAGATATCATTCATAATACAAACAAATCAATATTGCTGATGTAACAGTCTTCTCCCCTTTCTTTGGTTTGAGCCAAACCAAGTTTCAAATTCTTCGAACAAATCTCTGATTACCGCTACTTGATTTGCACGAACTCTTGTTATGCAATACTTTCACTTAGCTGATTTCGATGAAGGAAAATTGCAATAAAAAACGCAGCGGAATATAAAATTTTCCTTTAGAGATCCTTACGAATGAGCATGGTCAGTGATAGAAATATTCACCTCTTGTGGCGATTCAGACCTTTGATGTTGTGATCACGAGCGTTGATGAAGAACAACGCCTCTACTCAGTCCACACGAACAGATCGCTTCCGGTCACAGTGCTAGCTGATCACGAACGGAAACTTTGAGTGAGAGAGAGAATCAAAAACGAAATTGCATCAAGTGAAATTGCTTCATCACAAGGGATCTATTTATAGAATCACTCGTGTGGGCTACAAGCTAAAAGCCCAATTAAGGCTATAAGCTAAAAGCCCAATTAAGCTTATGGACATCATACCTTATGACGTACCATATATCACTTATCCACGTGGTATCTTACCACTTTCCGTATTACACTTAAGTGCACTGTACCTTACGGTGTTCCTTATTTATTCTATCTCTCATCAACCTGTCCTTATGTGTGTGACCCTGTAGGTTTTCACGACGTTGGGAATTATATTAAATCACACATTTAAATATAATAAACAGTGAGCGGTATCTAGCAACACATCACTGTTACCCAAGTCACGAAAATGTCATGTGATCTGACCAAACCTTTTCCGTGATAATATTTGTGTTGTACAATTACCCTTTTGCCCTCATGTCTATATTGAACACAAGGCATACACTGTGTCACCCTTGTCCAGTTCAATATTGGGCCCTTAGACATTTATCTTGTTATGCAGGATGAGCAAATTCCATCTAGGTCACTCATGTCCCTTAACATGCTTTGTGAAGTACCCATCAACTGTCTTTATAGTCATCCAGTTACGAATGACGTTTGATCAGCAATAAAGTACTTGACTCTACATCTAGGGTCCATAGTGGTTTCAGGTCGAAGGGTGGTATACACCATTATCATCATGAGAATAACTTATGACACTTTG